AGGCGGCTCACATGTGTGTGCCTGTCTGTCTGTGTGATCAGCGTTGAACACCGACCATCGCGGTCTCATGGATGTCGTTGTGCACCGGTGGGTCGGTGGACGGCAACTTGACGCACGCCGCGCACACAGATCACCAGTCCACACACAGTGATCACCTGGATGGATGGATGTGTGTGTGTGTGTTTGTGGATGCAGTTTTCAGCAGAAGGCCAAGGCCGAGACGGTGGTGAGTGGTGAGTGTGCTGCACTTGCCGGCCAATCCCGTGGCCTTCCTCCGCTGCCACGCACTCATCAACCAGGTACACACAAGACACACACACACACGTGTCTGTGTCTGTGTGTGTCCCCCACAGGCGCCCGCCCAGCCCCTCTGGGGCCGTGACACCTACACCGTGACACCTACACCGGTGCCGTCAGCAAGCGCACCATCGCGCTGTCCGGCCACCGCGCGGGCGACACGTTCATGGCCTTCGTCGAGATCGAGTGGAACGTGCACATGACGGCCACCGTCTACACGACCGAGAAGCGCCGGGCTGGCCAGCAGGACGACCCGGAGAGCGCGTTCCCCATGACGGTGCAGCTCGTGCGCAACGCACTGGGGCAGCAGGACGCACACACGCTGCTGGGGCTGTGAGGTGGATGGATGGATGTGGGGGACGGTGTACCATTGCTGGTGATGGTGTCGATAGACTGGGGCGGGAACGGGACGGATTCCTTGGATGTCCTTCTCTGTGTGTGTGTGTGTGGATGGATGGATGGGTGATGGGATGGACCAATGTGATGGACTGACGCTTTCCCTGGTCAAGAGACGATTTCCCTTGCTCATGTCACATCGAGAGTTGGTCTGTGTCGGTTCACTCTATCGCCTCACCCTCAATCGTACGCAACCTGGCCACAGCTCCAGAGGCGACATGAGACACACATGGCAGCTTCCACGCATCGATGGTCGGTCGGCCCATCAGCAGTAAGTAGCATCAGTCGCATCACATGTTATCTCATCTCGCTCCTGTGTCCCCCCAGACACACACCGCCTGACTGTCTAGCCGTGTGTGTCATCATCCATCCATCCAGCTCAGCTACGCCAGAAGAGCGACGCAAGATTGGTCGCCCCGCTGCTAATCGGCTTGGCACTACTGCTGGGGGGCGGCTCTGAGGGAGGCGACGGCACACCACCACCACCACCAGCCGGCCGCTGAAGAGCCAATGGCGGCCCACCCTGCTGCCTGTGATAGTGCTCCAGGACGGGCATGGCGGCCCGCACCACATCCAGCAGCTCACTGTACTCGCTCAGCAGCTGGGGAACCTCACCCAACGTCAGGCTCTTGGCCTCACGCGCACGATCAAAACGCCTCGGTAATGAATCCATCCGGCGCTGGTTGACGCACACACACATACACACACACAGGGAGAGAGAGAGAGGCGGGCGAGATGGATGGATGGCTGGGCGCATATGAGTGGTGTGTGTGGTCTTTTGCTCACGATGATGTCAGCAACGGCCTCTGGCGATGGGGGTGCGGGGGGAGGGGCCGCCTCGGGTGAGGGCGGGGCCGGCTGTGGCTCGCCAACAGGCTGCTCGGCCGCAGATGGCTGCTCCTCCTCACTCACAGGAGGAGACTCGATGGGGGCGTAATACAACCTGCAGTGGGCGGAAAGACACATGGATGGATGGAGGGATGGAGGGATGGGCGACAGGCAGCACACCTGTTGAAGTCATCATCGGAGATGGTGAGCTGCGAGGTGGTCCCGATGTTCTTGACAAACGACAACTGACACACACACACACACACACACACCCATGCGTCCCGTCCACCCGTCCTTTCCATCAATGCGGCTGGTGTGGTCTGTCTGCCTGAGTGACTGACCGCTGAGGAGAGGTGAGTGAAGAAGTAGAGGTCCTGCGAGGCGAGTCTGGTAGGGTGTCTGAAGGCCCCCACGTACTCGACATTGGAGTGAAGGTTGGGGGGGTTGGCCTTGACCAACACGTATATCAACACCGGCAAAAAGTCGTCGGCACCGGGAGGCGTCGTCCGCCCAGAGCTGCACACATATTATCAAGAAGGGATCGATTGATGCGATGCGTTGGTGTGCGTGGGTAGATTGATCAGGAGAGCAGTACATACCTGTGTGTGTTGGCGTCTTGGATGACATTGGTGATGACCATGCAGGTGTTCAGTATGCACACCAACTTGTCACGGGGCGACTGCACACACACACAGATGGCTGTGTGTCGAACGAAAGGCATGTGTGTATGCGTCTGGGCATCCACCCACCCACCCCTCCACTCAGCCACCCCACATTACCTTGTACTGTTCCACTTTCCTGAGCTCGTTGATGGCGAGCTCGAGGCCCTCCTCGGGCAGCGCGGGCACATCGAGATGCTCAAACGACAGCCACTGAAGACGACTGTCACACACGCACGCACACACACACAGAGAGAGAGAGAGAGAGAGTCAGTCGACTTTGTGGTCTGTCTGCGTGCCGCCCTCCATCCATCCATCCATCCATCCATCCATTCGTTGGTTACCTGAGGTGGTCATGCAGCCTCTTGTCTTCGGCCTCGTCGCTAGCCTCACAGCGAAACAACCTGCACACACGCACACACACCACACCACACCACACAGAGACCCGTAAGCAATTTGTCTGTCGATATGTGGATGGGCCCATTGTGTGGTCACCTGTATATGCAATTAAATTACCTGTGGTGCAGTTTGATGAGGACGAACTTCTCGAGCCCCTCTCGCGCGTTCTGCTGCACCTCAGCCGGACTCGACGCAAACACCTCAGTCTGCACACATGGATGGACACACAGACAGAGAGACAGTGATGCCGCTCGCTCCCCCGGTGGTCTCTCATGTGGCTGGCCGAACCATGCACTGCACCCATGTACCTGCAGAAGTTTCTCCTGTGTCTCGGCCAGGAAGTGGTGGAGCATCTCGGACGCCTGACGACGGCCCAAACGCTCCGGAAAACCACTCACAAACCTGACAGACAAAGGCAACACACACACACACATATATACACACAGCACACACAGGTGACAGGAGTGCATTATGGCCTTGCATCCCTCGTTGGCTCCCTCCCTTACTCTCTGACAGCCGCCACGACGCCCTGCGCCGATGGGTGCTTGAACAGCTCTATGAACCCAGAGTAACCCGTCTTGACTCCCACAACACCTCCCGGCCCCTGCTGCTGCTGCTGCTGAGGGCCCCCAGCTCCACCAGAGCTATCGGGCGCCTTGTCAGCCGCCTGTGGCGCCTCGGACGCCGGCCCATCAGCAACAACGCCCTTATCCACATCCGATGAGTGGCCTGCCACAGCCGCGCTCTCGCTCTCTCCCTCTCCGTCAGGCTGCTCTTCCTCGTCGTGCGCGCCGGCCGGTGGGGGGAAAGGAAGGGGCGGTCCCCGACGCGGCACCTGCGATGCCGCGGCAACGGTGATCTCAGTGTCCGAGTCATCCTCGGCCTCATGCCCATGTGTGTCGCCATTCACGAGGCCGTTGACGACACCGTCACTCGCCCCATCCGCTGTGTGTGTGGTGGTGGCCTCACCCACACCACCGCCACCAGCACCAGCACCAGCAATAGCAGCAGATGCGGCCCTGAACGCGTCCTGCAGCTCGTTGTTGTAGCCTCTCTTGGGCGGCGAGAGGTGCGTCTGTGTGCTGTCGGCGTAGTCGATGAGGTCCTTGGATGGGTACCCATTGAGGAAGGTGCTGCCGGGTGCGGCTGTGGGTGGAGGGGGAGGGGCCTCCAAGAGATCCAGACCACTCAGTGGCTGGTGGTCGGACCCGCGGTTGGACGCTGCACAGACGCACAGAGGCACACAGACACACAGGCACACGGACAGACAGCGCACAAGCACACGGAATGAGTGTTCCATCTTGTGTGTGCGTCCGGTGCATGTTAGCATGGGATGGCTCACAGGGGGTGGGGATGTTGTCGGTCAGAGGAGAAGCCATCATCTCATCTCGCCACAACTACCGTCGATGACGACACCTCAACAAGGAAGGCATCCAGTGGACTGGACACACCGCACTCTACCTACCACGCACTCTGCAACCAGCTGTCGGTCATGCAGCCGCCACCAACCGGAGACAAATGGCAAAACTCGCGACGGAAATCCGCTGATCTGCGGAACAAGACGCTGCTCACGTTCCCTCCCTTTTTTTTTGCGGCTAAGCTCGCACCTCACGGCTAAGCTCGCAAGTGACAGAAGAAAGGCAGCAGCAGCGGTTTCAGGGAGCACAGAAGAAAGGAGAGCAAAGAGCAGAAGCAGATGCCACGCACGCCATGCCGAGCAAAGCCGCTCTTGAATCCCTTGACGGATTGATCTTTTCTCAAGAATAGTCTTTCTGAGGTGAGACGAACGTGGAGCAGAGGCAGCGAGCAAGCAGCAGCAGAGGCAGAAGAATACACGAACGTCAGTGACGGTATGCTGCATGATATGTCGTTGCCTGATCTCTGTCTGCAGGCAAGGCATGTCTTTGGAGGCCTACATCGGCAGCCGTCTTCACGACCTGCTGGGCTTCTCGTCTCAGAGCGTCGTTCAGCTCTTCGCCGACTGCAGCAGGAATGCATCCTCACTCCAGCACCTCAAGCAAGACCTCATCTCCGCCGGCGTCGACCGACCCGTCGTCGACGCCATCGCATCCGACTTCTATACCAGGCTGCACGAACCACCACCACCGCCCAAGCGACCCGCATCAGCAGCGGCAGCAGCGAGTGACCAGGATGACCTCGAGAGTGCCGCCAAGAGGCCGCGCGTCGGCGACAAGGCCAATGGGGATGCGTCACCGTCCCAGCCCCCTCCCGACGACCCGCCTCTCGACGCCGAGGCCGCCCGTCTACGCGATATCGAGGAGCGCGATGCCCTGGCCAGGCGGATCCGCGACAGGGACGACGAGAAGACCAAGAAGCTGGGTCAGCAGGTGCATGAGATGTCGACCGAGCTGCGTGACGCCTCCCTGAGGGAAGACCCTGACGCCATGGATCGGCTGCGTGAGGTGGCGCGGCGTCAGTACCTCAAGAAGCGGGAGGACCGGCAGATCGAGCTGGCCGAGCGGGAGCTGGCGGACCGCGAATGGATGTACCAGGGAGTCAAGATCACCGACAAGGAGAAGCGCGACCTGGAGCTGCAGCGCCAGACGCTCGAGGCGGCCAAGCGGCTGCGCGACGAGCGGGCCAACCGCGGCCAGACGGACGACTACGTCATTCCCGAGGCGTACGACGAGGACCAGGACAAGCGCATGGGTGTCCTGTCGACGCGCTACCAGGAGGAGAAGAGGCCCGAGACGGAGCAGGAGATATGGGAGAGGCAGCAGACATCGGCTGCCGTCGCTCACTTCGGCGCCAAGAGGGGCAAGGACAGCAGGCAGAAGAAGTACGACCTCGTCGTCGACTCGATCGACTTCGTCAGCTTCGATGGCGACATTGCCTCGGAGCTCAAGCGTGAGGAGGAGCAGGACGAGGAGGAGGCCGCCCTGTCGATCAAGGAGAGGAAAGCCAGGTCTCTGCAGGAGGACCGCCAGTCCCTCCCCGTCTACCGATACCGCGACGAGCTGCTCCGTGCGATCCGGGACAACACTGTGCTGGTGGTGGTGGGCGAGACGGGGTCCGGCAAGACCACCCAGATCCCCCAGTATCTCTACGAGGTCGGCTACGGCAAGAGCGGCATGATTGGCTGCACGCAGCCGCGGCGCGTGGCGGCCATGTCGGTGGCGGCCCGCGTGGCGCAGGAGATGGGCGTCAAGCTGGGCCACGAGGTGGGGTACTCGATTCGCTTTGAGGACTGCACGACCGACAAGACCATCATCAAGTACATGACGGACGGCATGCTGCTGCGAGAGCTGCTGGGCGAGCCCGACCTCAAGAGCTACAGCGTCATGCTCGTCGACGAGGCCCACGAGCGCACCCTCCACACCGACGTGCTCTTCGGCATCGTCAAGGACCTGGCGAGGTACCGAGACGACTTCAAGCTCATCATCTCGTCGGCGACGCTCGACGCCGAAAAGTTCAGCGAGTACTTTGACGAGGCGCCCATCTACCGGATCCCCGGCCGGCGGTACCACGTGCAGGCCTACTACACCAAAGCGCCCGAGGCCAACTACGTGGAGGCCTGCGTGGTGACAGTGCTGCAGATCCACACCACCCAGCCGCTGGGCGACATCCTGGTGTTCTTCCCCGGTCAGCAGGAGATCGAGGAGGCCATGGAGGCCCTGCAGGTCCGCACACGCGGGGCGGGGTCGGCCATCGGCGAGCTCATCATCCTCCCCATCTACGCCAACCTGCCGTCCGACCTGCAGGCCAAGATCTTTGAGCCCACCCCCCCTGGCGCCCGCAAGGTGGTGCTGGCCACCAACATAGCCGAGACGAGCATCACCATCGACAACATCGTCTATGTCATCGACCCCGGCTACTGCAAGCAGAACACCTACAACCCCAAGACCGGCATGGAGTCGCTCGTGGTGGTGCCCATCTCAAAGGCCTCGGCCAACCAGCGGATGGGCCGGGCGGGGCGCGTCAAGCCCGGCAAGGCCTTCCGCCTGTACACCAAGTGGTCCTACGAGAAGGAGCTCGACGACAACAACGTCCCCGAGATCCAGCGGACCAACCTCGGCAATGTGGTCCTCATGCTCAAGAGCCTCGGCATCGACGACCTTTTGCACTTCGACTTCATGGACCCCCCGCCGCCCGAGACGCTGATCAAGGCGCTGGAGCTGCTGTACGCCCTGGGGGCGCTCAACGACAAGGGGGAGCTGACCAAGCTCGGCCGGCGGATGGCGGAGTTCCCTCTGGACCCCATGTACTCGAAGATGGTCATCCAGTCTGAGAAGTACAAGGTGGTGGACGAGGTGGTGACGATATGCGCCATGCTGGGCGTGGGGGCCGCCATCTTCTACCGACCCAAAGACAAAGCCATACACGCCGACAACGCCAGAAAGAACTTCTTCAGACAAGGTCAGTCAGCCAGGGTCATCCAGGCAGCCAGGCAGTGACGGTCTAAGCGCTCACACCACACCACACCCCTCTCCCTTTCATCATTCACCTCTGTCTGTGTCATGTCATGTGTGTGTAGGTGGCGACCATCCGACGTTGCTCAACGTGTACAAGCAGTGGGAGGACACAAACTTCAGCATCCAGTGGTGCTTCGAGAACTTCGTGCAGCACCGCTCCATGAAGCGCGCCCGCGACATCCGCGAGCAGCTCCTCGAGCTTCTCGAGCGCGTCGAGATCGAGCCGCTGTCTTCGCCCAACGAGCTCGACGGCATGCGCAAGGCCATCACCTCGGGCTTCTTCACTCAGGCGGCCCGCCTCAACAAGTCGGGCAGCTACGCCACGCTCAAGCACCCCCACACAGTCGAGATGCACCCACAGAGCAGTCTGTTTGGCTGCCAGCCGGCCCCCAAGTGCGTCGTCTACACAGAGCTGGTCCTCACCACCAAGGAGTACATGCGCAACGTCATCGAGATCAAACCCGAGTGGCTACGAGAGGTCGCACCCCACTACTACAAGGCCAGCGAAGTCGACTTCGCCGCCAAGATGCCCAAGGTGCCCAAGGGGTCAGCAATGGGGGCTGCAAGCAGCGCCATCTAGACGGCATGGAGGTGGGCAGGCAGAATGAATGAATGAATCGATGGCTAATGGATGGATGGCTTGTATGGGCTTGGCTTGTTTGCGGGTTGGTTGGGTCGGTAGGTCGGCGGAAGACAGACAAGTCTGATACGTGTGTGTCCCCGGTGGCTGGCGAGCATGCCCTCTGTTTGGTCGTCGTGTCTGCCGGCCGGCTGTTTATCTACTTCTCTCTGTGCACACACACACACACATGCCGATGGGTATGGTGGATGGGGTGAGTGTTTGGACAAGCGCGCCTGGACATTGATTCGCCTGTCACGTTATGTGTGGGGCGGGGCGCCTGCCTGCCTGTCGGTGTCGATTAATCAATCTGTATGTATTTGTGTTGATTGACTGAATGGCCGGAAGGAAAGGCATCATCTCATCTCATCATGCCACTCCTTTGATTCCATTCATTGGTTCTACCGCCCGTCCGTCCGTCCGTCCGTCCGACCCACTCACTCACACGCAAGGCATCCACTTACACGCACTCATACGTACATACCGTTCACACAGACACACGCATTGCATTCCACGCGCATCGCAATGGCATGAATGGGATGGGATGGGATGGGATGTGGCGACACTCAGTCAGTAGTGTGGGGACCCATGTGCTGCACTCCCAACGCCACACCACAGCACGCCGCAGCAGATGTATGACACCCCCACAGCCATCAGCTACGAAAACGAGAGAGAGAGAGAGAGAGAGAGAGAGGCAGGCGAGGCGCAACGACCAAGTGGGCGTTGGGCAGGGGGTGAGTGCACAGCCGTGGAGGGCTCAGACATGCCAGGGAGAGAGAAAGTGTGTGTGTGCGTGTGTGTGTGTGCGGTCAGGACGGAACTGACAGACACGACGACCAGGCAGGACAAGAGAAGAGAGGCCTCCCACCCACCCACCGGCCCGAATGAGTGTACGCGTGCATTGATCGCAATTTACCCACCCTCCTCACTCACGCAGGCGTCATGCAGACGTGTCTGCCACCCCAGCTGGTAGGTAGGGGAACTGGGCGATGCGTGTACGCCAGCGAGAGAGAATTGTGGTGCCAGCTAAGATAAGTAAGAGGGCCCAAAACTGGCTGGCTTGCCAGAGCAGAGGGAGAGGGAGAGGGAGGGTGAGAGTGGGCCAAAAGAGACAGAGAGAGAGCCAGCAAGGAAAGGGCTGCAGTGCACCAGCATACATACATACATTCATGAGCCGATCGGAGTAGGTCATGCATGCCTTTGTTTCTTTCTTTCTGTCTATCCGCTGCTCTGGGGCGGGGCGGGGTGGGGTGGGTTGAGTCGGGGTAGCTGGCTTAGCTAACGTCCTCTGTCTGTGTGTGCGATGGATGCACGTGTGTGTGGGTGTGGGTGTGGGAGTGGGGTGAGTGTGGGTGGCATGACATGGCATGGATGCATGGTGGCATAATATCCCTCCCCCCCAAACCCCCACAGCTCCCCTTTCTCCTACGTAATTCCCTCTCTCTCTCTCTGCGTGGCATCCATGTGCCCGCCAGCCACAGGGAGGCAGGCAGGCAGGCAGTCTCTACAAGACAGAGGTCATCAGCAATCTCTCTCTCCCCTCTCTTATCTCATGTGTGTGCGACTAGAGGCTGTAGTGTGTGAATCCAGGCCACAGGCCACATGCCACACGCAATGGCATGCAATCCAATAAGGGGTAGAGGAAGGGACTATACACACACACACACACAAACAGGCAGGCAGGCAGGCAGGCAGACGGCCAGGCGGGCAGACGTTCGATTAATTTGCCATCCATCCATCCCTCTATGCCACAGCCAATGCTAAGCGGCATCCATCCATCCATCCAGACATGTAATGTATGGGAATGGGAATGCGATGACCGGGGGGTGGGCTGGAGGCAGGCCGGTCCTCTTCTCTCTCTCTATATCTCTCCTTCTGCCCTCCCCTTCTCAATGAATTCGCAGCACACGGACGGCAGCCAAGCCAGGAGGCAGGCCATGTAATCGGGCCAGACAGACAGACAGACAGACAGGTAAGGAAGAGGGCAGCCCACTCACTCACAAATGCAGTATGTATGTACGGATCTCATGCAGCAGAGAGAGGCACGCCCCCCACACACATCCATCCATCCACCCACCCATGGCTGGCTAACTGGGCTGTGGTGGGGGCTGTGGGTGTGTAATGTGCCCGCCGAGCGAGCAGCGCATCCATCTCTGTCTGCCCCTGTCTGTCTGTCTGCTACTGGCCGGCACCTCTGTGTGCACAATAAGTCCGCACAGGCATCCACACACATACGCATTGCACTGCACTGGGGATGGGTACGTGTGTGTGTGTGTGTGTGTGTGGGCATCTCGTGGCATGGCTACCCCCGCCCGCCTTAATTGGTATGGTCAGATAGATGGGGATGGGTCTGCGGATGTGTGTGTGTGTGTGTGGGGGGGGATGTAGGGGTGTGTGTGGCCCGCCCGCCCGCCCGCCCATCGATCCATCGTCTGTCTGTCCGTCATGAGTAGTCGGGATCGGGCACGTAGTACTGACCCAGGTACCTATCTCACACACACACATGGACAGAACGTCTCACGTGCTGCGTGAGGCATTGTCGAGTGCGTATGCGTGTGTCCCTATAGTTAGTACCTGGTGCGGTCGACGTGTCTGTTGTCGTCGATGCGCATGATGTGGTTCTGGAGGCCGAACAACTTGAACAGGGCGTCTTGCAACACCGGGAACGTGCAGTACGATCGCACCTTAGTTAACACACACATATCCACACACACACACACACATACAGCATCGGCCTCCCTCCTGCCCCTCTCCATCCATCCATCCATCCATCTGTCTGTGTGTGTGGCTCACGAGGTGTTCGTGCCATATTTTGATGGGGCAGGTCTCGTCCTGCAGCCAGCAGTGCGCCAGGTAGATCTGCAGCACGCACACGTGGGCACGCTCCTTCTGGTCCGTCACCGACAACTTCGAAAACCTTCACAAAGACAGACCACCCCACACAGACAGAGAGAAGGGCACACACACAGGCACAAACATGGACTTGTTGAAGAAATGGATGGATGGATGGATGGATCTCTGTATGTGTGTGTGTTTGAGAGCCTTACGTGTCCTCGAGCTGCACCGATGCCATGGCGAGGATCAGCACAATGTCCCACGCCTCGTACTTGCACCTGCACACCACACATCCCATCACACAAGACATCCATCCATCCATCGCCCCCCTTGCGTTGGTTGCCTGCTTATTGCCTACCTGTGCAGCATTTCCATGGTTTTGAGTATGATTTTGGGTCCCAGCCCCTCCCGCTCCAGCCCCGCCAACACGCAGAACCGCTGGGCGATGCCCACGTCGGCAGACCGGTACGCATACTTGCCATTGCGACGCCGAAACTCGTCAACCAGCGCCTCGCTATTGGGCGTCGACACGCCCGTCGACACGCCCGATGACGGTGGACCATCCGACAAACTCCCAACCGAACCGCCGTGGCCGGTGGCACCACCTACTCCTCCCACTCCCACTCCCCCGCCCACACCCCCACCCCCGCCAACACTGCCGCTGGGCGACACGTACTCGAACCCCGAGATCCCTCCGATATCGCTGCCGCTCCCGCCGCTGAATGAGGTCGCCGTGCTGGCGGCCGAACACACCACACTCTTGCTCTGGGCGGCGTGCTGCTTCAGCGGGGTCTCGTAGGTGGCAGAAGTGGCGCTGCTGCTGCTGGTGGTAGTGGTTGTGATGTGTGTGGGTCGGCAGGTGACGTGCGAATGGTCGTTGTCATGGGCAGATCCGCCCGTGCCGCTGCCGGCGAGTATCATGCTGGACTTGATGCGGCCCGGGTAGATGAGCTGCTGCTGGTACGATGGGCCGTACGCCGACGCCATGCCATGATCTGTTGATGCCGTCATCGTGTCGAGGAAACGTGTGCTAGATTCGAGCGCTGGATGCGTCAGCTGCCAATCCCGCATGGTGTGGTGGGAGGATGGGCGGGGCGGGGCGGTCAGGGGAGGCAGATGGGGAGGAGGGCCTGCCGAGCCGTGGTGGGCGGGCTGGTGGATGGAAAGGGATGGGCGGCGCGAGCGATGGATGGATGGGTGGGAGGAGATCTCTCCCCTCTTATGGATCGTATCAAGGATGGACGTGTTGGATGCCAGAAAAGGTGTCCATCCTCCAAAACGCCACGTAAACACAGAGTCGCTTTGAGCTCGCAAACTTCTTCCCCTTTCTTCGCCGAGCGGAGCCTGCGGTGCTGCATTCTCTCCCCTCTCGTCGCTTACTTCGCTCCCTTCGTGTCGCTCGCACGTGGCGATGGTTCTCGCCGCCTGCGGACCTCATGCAGACGATGTGCCTCTGTCGTCCATCGCCATCCCATTCTCCGAGTGTTTCTTCATCAAGCAAGACTACGCAGCAGAGCACCAGAATGCGGCCATGCAGAGCAGCATCAGGTGCTCGTCCCTCTCCTTCTACGTCGACCTGGGCAATGGCGACTCCACTGAGCCAGGTGAGTGAGGCGATCCGCACAGGGACAGCGAAGCAGTGAACCAGTGAAGCAAGCAAAGCAGAGTGCACAGACAAGACAGACAGACAGACAGACAGACAATCATTGCTTGGTTGATTCATTCATTCATTCATTGTTTCATTGTTTGACTTGGTTGGCTTGTCGATCAGGTGGTGCGTCATCGTGGTGGGCGTGTGCGTCTGAGTCGGAGCAGGGTCCGTCTGGCGGCAGCTACGGCAGCTATGGGGAGACCCTGACCGTGTCGACCCTCTCACAGCGGGATCACACCCACAGCCACAGCCACCGCCACCGGCTCCCACACTGCCCTCCCCCTCCCTACCCCCTTCCCGGTCCTCCCGCACCTCTCCCAGTGCTGCCGTATGTGGCAGAGATGCCCGAGCACCTGCGGCTCCTGGCGTTTCGGTCGGGCGATGTCGGCCTGTGTGAGCGCTTCTGCGCACTCTGCGGCATGGCGACGGACATCAGCTATCGACAGACGCTCAAGACGCTCAAACTCCTGCACAGGGTGCGCATCGACACACGCACCACACATAAATGTGCACAGATGAGTTGGCGGGGTGGGCATATGTATGTTTGCGTGTGGTGTGTGGTGGTCAGTGCCAGTATCGCACGAAGGACATCGTTCACGTCATGGCTCTGGCGTCGTGTTACCTGGAGGAGTGCTCCGCGCAGCTGTCTGTGGGCGACCCGTCCGAGCGTGCGTACGAGTGCGTCCTGCTGATCTACCTGGCGCACTGCTGGCTGCTCGACAGAGCTTGCCCCATCAAAATATGGCACGAACACCTCGTAAGACGGACGCCACGTGCACAGAGAGACAAGGAGGGAGGCACTCATGGCTCTGTGTGTGTGTGTGTGTATAGACGGTGCGTTCGTACTCCTCCTTGTCGGCGTTCAGAAATGCGATGGTGAGGCTGTGGCAGCTCCAGAGCTTCCGCCTGTGCTTCGATCGCGAGCCAGTGGTCGCCCGGGCCGAGTTCATCCAGGGCACCGACAGCCACCGCCACTATGACTAATAATCAATCGTACATACCACAGTCGTACTCTACACACACGGACGCTCATACACACATCCACACACATGCATGGCGTGGCCTCTTGCTTGCTTGAGTGGCGTGGAGCTCCATTCATGTGGGTGAGTGGGTGGATGGATGGATGCATGGGGCGGGTACAGGCCGCATGTGTGTGTACAGTGTCACAGACAGACAGACAAACAGACAGACAGACAGAGATGGCTTGCCGCATCCTATCGAGTCTTAAGCGGCCTGAGTGGGGGCCGTGTTTTGCCCTTTTCGATGGTCACAGAAAGGTCCACATCGCACCCGCACGTAAGGTCGATGAATGCTGGCAAATCTGTGACGCGCACACGTCACTAACATGTATGGGGAGAGGGAGAGAGAGAGAAAGAGAGAGATGGTTTCGACAGAGAGATTCACTCGCTCGCTGCTCGAGTGTCCGTGTCCGTGTGTGTGTGTGTGTGTGTGGTGAATTGGGCATCGCCCGTCTGACGTAAGCTAACGATGGATGGATGGATGGACGGGCGTCAATTCACATGCCCTCCAATATGCACTGACTGGCTGTGTGAATGTATGTATAGAGCAAGACAGATCAACACGTACAGACTGCGATCTGCGTGAGTGTAATGGCAATTCGCACCTGTGGGGTTTGTGTCTTCTCTCGCTGACCGACTGACTGCACGGACGAACAGTGAGTGCATGAATCTGTATGTATTTTGTGTGTATGTATGGTTGGGATGTCCTCTGTGGCCTTGCATGTGTTGATGGGGAGGGAGGGAGGGAGGGCTGGATCGATGATGGCTGGGGCGGGTCAGGCAGCCATGTGTGTGAAGAAGGGATCAGGCAGCGAGCGACGAGAGTGCACGGGAGTGGTCCTCTGAGCGTGCGGTACACACACGGGAGGGCCGCCACATGCACTCTGCTCGTTGTCCATCCACCCACGCACGCACGAGTGGCGTCTCATCCAATCGATATTCCAACGATTGCACACATCGCATCGCATCGCATACACTCATGATGACATCGCATACGTACGTGCTGTTTTCGTTGCAGTGGTGCATGTACAGTGTATGGTTGGCCACATGTACAGTCTGAGACGGATGTGCACATGGACGTCTGTGAATAGCTTCATTGCTCGTGGTGTGCGTGTGCGGAGTCGTTGCGTGAATGAGTGAAACCCTATACCCCGAACCCTCAACCCAAACCCTGCACCGAATTCACATCTTCCCCTCATCTCCTCCCAACCCCAGCACAACAATGAATCAATGCGCAACCTTGCGGATCTGCATCATGCTGCTGGTTTGCATCCTCCCGTCGTCAGCAGCCTTCATTCGGCCATCGCTCCCGCACACACTCATGGAGAGCCGCCTGCGCCAAACACATCAACCCCGTCAACGCCATCCACAGCGACTGCGCAGCACCGGCCTGAGGATGCAGACGGCGACCAAGATGGGCTATGCGTGGGACATCAGCAGCATCAAGCAGATCAGCGACAAGTACCAGCGGCCAGACTGCATCACCAGCAGGGAGTTCGATATCGGCAAGCAGACCTTCCTGCTCTACTTCTTCCCAAATGGATCAAAATGGTCGACTGATGGTAAGTGCCGCCACTGACTGAGCCACTGCACACACGCGTGCACCATGCGTCAAGGCATTGTCGTGTCGCTGCTGATGCTGATGCTGATGCAGGCAACTGCGCTCTTCGGTTGGTGCCTCTCGGTGCCCCTCCTGCATGGAAGTAAGTTGGTTGTGGTGGAGGGATGGATGGATGGATGGTCATGGGTCTGTCTGTCTGTCTGTTTGGTTGTCAGGTTCAGCCTGTATGTGGGCAGCAAGAAGGTGGGGCCCTTCTCGTTTGACTCCGACGAGTATTGGGAGCAGAGCAACAACATCTGCAAGTAAGGAACGGGACGGGCAAACCACTGGCCGACCGACCAGCCACACGGAAGGTCTTAATTCATTGATTGATGGGGGTGTGTGTGTGGGTGTGTGTGTGGGGGTGTGTGTGGTGATCTGTGCCAGGCTGCCCGACGAGAATCTTGATGTGAGTCTGTTTGAGGTGGGGATCGAGGTTGTCTAGCTGTCTGTCTGTCTGGCCAGCCAGAGATGCTGAATGAATGCGAGACGGGCAGGGTCGGCAATTGCTTGCGGATGTTGGCTGGGTCGGTCGATGTACCTAACCTGTACGTAACGTAATCGATGTGTCGACCATCACTATATATACCTAACATAAATGTGATGATTCGCATCGCAATCGGTCAGTTTCACTTTCACCCAAACACAACACAACACAAGGGAGGGTACACAGACAGACAGACAGACAGACAGACAGGTGTGAAGGGCGAAAGGAGAGAACAAAGAGGAGCGAGAGTGTAGTGCGTTGGTGTGTATGGCCCGGCTCTCGGCGTCGACCCGACCATGTATCGAATAGCTTTCGGTGTGTGAGATGAAGTGACTGACCACAGAGGGAATGAAATTGTCGCTTCAAGGACGGATGCGTCAGTCCATCCCATCGGTCCATCCCATCACCGATCCATCCATCCACACACACAGAGAGAGAAGGTAGCCAAGAACCAGAACGACCCCAATCTATCAACACCATCACCAGCAATGGTATACCGTCCCCCACATCCATCCATCCATCCATCTCACAAGCCCAGCAGCGTGTGCGCCTCCTGCTGCCCCAGTGCGTCGCGCACCAGCTGCACCGTCATGGGGAACGCGCTCTCCGGGTCGTCCTGCGGCCCCCCCCGGCGCTTCTCGGTCGTGTAGACGGTGGCCGTCATGTGCACGTTCCACTCGATCTCGACGAAGGCCATGAATGTGTCACCCGGGAGGTGGCCGGACAGCGCGACGGTGCGCTTGCGGACGGCGCCGGTGTACGTGTCACACAGCAGCCGAGGAGTGGGGCCCCAGAGGGGCTGGGCGGGCGCCTGTGGGGGACACACACTGTGGGGGACACACACAGACACAGACACGTGTGTGTGTGTGTCTTGTGTGTACCTGGTTGATGAGTGCGTGGCAGCGGAGGAAGGCCACGGGATTGGCCGGCAAGTGCAGCACGCTCACCGCCGTCTCGGCCTTGGCCTTCTGCTGAAAACTGCATCCACAAACACACACACACATCCATCCATCCATCCAGGTGATCACTGTGTGTGGACTGGTGATCTGTGTGCGCGGCGTGCGTCAAGTTGCCGTCCACCGACCCACCGGTGCACAACGACATCCATGAGACCGCGATGGTCGGTGTTCAACGCTGATCACACAGACAGACAGGCACACACATGTGAGCCGCCTCTACCTCCGCTGGTTCACACCACCTCTCTCTTGAACTTACCGCTGACGGAGGGGTTGGTGCCATCGTATCCTGCAGCGAAGGGGTGGTTGGCGTGCAGGGCCCCCGGGCCATAGACCGTCAGCACGCTGCTGCCCAGCTTGTCCCACAGCTGGCCGCCCACCAAGATGCGCTTCAACGACAACTCGCGAGTGCAGCCCTCCACAAAGATACTATGCATAGGACACACACATGGACAGAGAGTCAAAGGCACAGTGTGCGGCTGACTGGGAAGATGGGTACGTCTGCGCCTACCTGAGGAGTGACCAGGCTCGCAGCCTGTGCGGGCGGCTGTCGAAC